TTCTTCTGTTGCTTCAGTTGTATTGTGCAGTAGATCTCCTTCTAATGACTCCAATTCCATCAGTGGCTGAAGTATTTCATCAACTGTGTCTATCACTGCAACATTGATCACATCAACCTTGAAGCAATCTCCTCCGTCGGAAGGATGTTTCATAGATTCAAGAACATCAATTGTTACAGTTTCATCATTAACCCGTAACATCAACTTTCCCTGCTCCACATCAACCAAAGCTCTTGCAGTGGCTAAGAAGGGTCTTCCCAAAAGTAATGGGATTTCAGCATCCTCTTTCATGTCTAAGATGACAAAGTCTGCAGGGAATATGAATTTATCAATTTTTACCAAAATATCTTCAATGACTCCATCTGGCCTTCTGGTAGATCTGTCAACTAACTGTAGTGAAACTTTTGTCGGCTTTAATTCATGAATCCCCAGAGCCTTGCAGATGGATAATGGCATAAGGTTAATACTAGCTCCCAAGTCACATAACGCCTTTCCCACATCAATGTTGCCAATTTCTATGGGAATGCTGAAACTTCCAGGATCTTCAAGTTTTGGAGGCAACTTTTTCTGAATTATAGCACTACACTCTTCCGTGAACGTCACTGTTTCACATTCTTTCAGTTTACGTTTCTTCGATAAGAGATCTTTCATGAACTTTGCGTAATTCGGCATGTTCTCCAAGGCTTGAGCAAATGGAATATTGATTTGTAGCTTTTTGAAGATATCAAGGAACTTCGAATACTGCTGCTTTTTGATTTTCTCTCTGAACCTCTGCGGATATGGAATTTTTGCATAAGGTGAGAGCTCCAATGGCTTTTCTTGTCTTTCTTGAGCTTTCTTTTTCTCCCATTTGAACTCTTTCTTTTCAGGAACAGCTTTCTCTGCAGCAGGCTCTTTGTCAACTTCCTTCTCTTTTTCTTCTTCAATGGCAGATCCCTCAGCTTTCTTTTTCTCTACTGAAGGCTTAATCACAGGTTCAATTACAATGCCACTTCTAGTGGTAATGGCCTTGCAGTGTGCATTAGGATTAACGTCTGTATTACTTGGGAAGGTGCCTTGGGTTCTTTCGTTGAACTGCCTTGACAATTGACCAATCTGAGTTTCTAGATTCCGGATTGAGGCTTCTTGATTCCTGAATGAGGCCCTGGTTTCTTGCATAAAGGCTGAAGTGTCTTCCCTGAATGCATTGGTACTTTGAACATAGTCTGATGTGGTTTTGGATAGTTGTGCAAAGGCCTTCTCCCACTCTGATTGTTGTGGAGGTTGCTGTGGTGCTGGCATAGGAGGATTTAGCTGATGATTCGAGCTATAACTGAATCCTGGATGTTGATTTTTATTTCTCCACCCTTGATTCTGGTTATTGCCGTATTGGTTCCTCCCTGGGTTATATGGAACTTTCTGATCATGCCAAATTCCATTAACATCTGCAGTTTCGGGTGCCTTGCAGTCTTCAGTAGCATGAGCACCTGCACAAATACCACAAGTTATTTTAATATTATTAACAGAAGAGACTTGAGAACTGGTAAATTGCTTTGTGAGAGCATCTAGTTGTTCTTGTTGTTTCTTGTTAATTTGTAAAATCTGTTCATTCTGAGCTAAGATGGCATCATAGCCATCAAGCTTCATAATCCCCGCTCTTCTCTGTGGTACTGGAGCATTATCATACTCCTGAGAGGCTAGAGACTCTAGTAATTCCAAGGCTTCCTCTGGAGTTTTTGTTTTTAAGGACCCTCCTGATGCAGCATTCACCAATGTTCTTGTGTTCGGCGTCATCCCTTGGAAGAAGGTTCTCGCTTGCTCCCAAGCTTCAATGCCATGTTGGGGACACTTCCTAAGTAGTCCCTTGAATCTTTCCCATGCTTCATATAGAGATTCACTTCCTTTTTGTTCAAAAGAAGTGATATCCGCCTTGAGCTTTGCCATTTTCGAAGATGAGAAAAATTTGTCCAAAAATTTGTTTGCCAAGTCGTCCCAGTGGGTGATGCTTCCTTGAGGTAACGATTGCAACCATCCTCTTGCTTCGTCTTTAAGTGAACAGGGGAACAATCTGAGCAAAATAGCATCCCGAGACACCCCATTCATCTTCAAGGTATCATAATATAGCAAGAAGTTTTCCAGATGGATGTAAGGGTCTTCCGTGCTTCCTCCGGCAAATTGGTCTTTCTGAATTAATTGTAAAAGTGCCGGCTTGAGTTCAAAGTTGTTAGCATCCACGTTTGGTCTAACAATACTCGCCGTCTGTGGAACTCGAGCAGGAGTCATGTAATCTCCCAACGTTCTCGGAGGTGGTGGAGGTGCATTGTTGTCTCCCATTGCTTCTTCTCTTGGTTCTGTTGAGCTTGAAGCTTCTTTCTCTTGCTGTCTTCTTTCTTTAGCAAGTTTTCTGTTTCTTTTTGCTGTTTTCTCTATCTCCGGGTCGAATTGCAAGGAATCGGTGTCAACGGTACCTCGCATAAACCAGAAAAATAGATTATATAAAATAAGAAAATAAAACTGAATTTAAATAATAGAAAATTAAATAACAAAAAATAAGGTCCAATCTAAAGAATTAATAGCTACTATTAATGTTGAAATAGTAATCCCCGACAACGGCGCCAAAAACTTGTTGCTACTCACGGCAAGTGCACCGATCGTACAAGTAATATATGATTAAGTAAGAGATCGTTCCCACGAGGATTACGGTTCAAGCACTAATTCACTATCGCAAACTTAGTTGGACAATCGAAAGTGTATTTGGAAACAGGATTTGAATTGCAAAATTAAAATATTAAATATTAAGCTAATTACTTGCAAGAATTAAAGACAAGAAATTAAAGATGTGATTTAACTAATAAAATAAAAACGTAGCTAGGGGTTCGATTTCCTTTAATCTCCTTATTATGATTCGAAGTCCTTCTTTACGTTAACCGTCCTTAATATCAATCTAACCAATTCTTTCGCGTGTTATTAGAGCTCAATCCCTTGTTACCCTAAAACCTTTACAAACTTGAAAGAACCCTAGTTCCCCAGTTATTCCCCAAGAATGCAAGCATTAAGTTCAAGAATCTTAAGGTTACGCAAATTCTATGTCTATCCATAGAATCATAGCGTTTACGATGAAGTTATCAGATATGGATCACACACCAACATCCCTATTGTCATGCATTTACCGATGATCATTATATAAGATTCAAGCCTATATAAAGCATTAAAAACAGATAACTTCATTCATGATAAAAAGGAAAATTAACGTACGAATTATTCAAAGCATAATAAATCGACTAAAATCCATCTAACCCTAACTACTTAAAGAACTAGCCGGACATGGCAAAATCAAGAACAAAAGAAAATAGAAAAGCTCCCCCAAACTCCATAAGTGATTGGTGGATCTTCAATATCTCCAGTGAACACTTGACGTTGATCCGTCTCTGCCGCTCACGAACATGAATCTGATGTTTCTCCGCGTTCCTTCAGCCTCCAAGCACCCAAGAGTTGTTTAGCAATCTAAAAGTTATGTATTTCTGGTCCCCAATGGTGTTTAAATAGGTCAAGAGTTCGTATTGCAGTAGAAAACTTGAATGGGCCTAAGTTGGACTTGTCTGGGCGCTTAAGCTTGTGAATGGGGGCTTAAGCTCCCACTTCTAACAACTTGATAAGATCTTCAATCTTATTGTTTTCACCTTGATTCATCTTCTTTTCTGATTTGATCTCTCTTTATCTAAATCTTCATATTTGAATCATTTGTTATCAAATCCCTTTAAAAATAACAAATATATTAATTAGTTCCAACAATCAGATAATGTTCATGATTATCATTTTAAAACTCTAATTTTTGACTTGTTCAACTAGATAATTCATATTATTTTAGTCCATTAAACAAGATAAACTAAAGGTTTATCATTCATCAAACACGGTTCTACCATATTTTGTTCATCCACCAAATCCTGTAAAGAGCGCATTAGTCAAGAACCATCATTAGTTTCCTGCAATAATAACAAGAAGACCTGGAAGTGGACTCACATGTGAATGTGCTTCATGTAGAGGGATATCCAATGGACTTGGACATGGACATGGCCTAATGATTAGTTCTGAATGTGTTGGTGAAATAGCTACTGATGGAATCTCTAAAACAGGAACTTTTTCAACAAATTCATGTTCTGCCTCAAGTGATTGTTTGCTTTTTGTCTCCACAGAAATGAACTCATTCGGTTCACTGTCATCCTCTTGTTGATCAGTATTGAGATGTGAAGAAATCAACTCACGCCAGGATGCTGCTTGAACATCAGGCCCAACTGGAACGTCTTCAGTGATTTCTGCAATTGGATTTTGATTGATGGTATCTTTGTTATCAGAGTCGTCTTCATCAAGTTCATCAACCTTGTGGATGTCTTCCCACATTTCAGTAACCATGTCTTCTTCCACACGCTTCACAAAACTATCCCAGCCAAATTCTATAATAAAGTATTATAGATCAACAACTCCTTCAGCCAGTAACTCATAAGATTTTTCATATATTTTTTAAAAGCAGTAAGGGGCCGTTTGGTACACGGATTTTTTTTCAGATTCTCGAGAAACTGAAATTTTTAATATTTTAAATTTTCAGATATTATCGTAAACTGAATGTAAAAATCATATTTTTAAAAATCGAGATTTCCGAACAAATAAAAATTTATCCTGTACCAAACGCCCCCTTAAAGTTATAAAATTATTTGTCTATCTTTACATGATAATTAAAATTATTGCATAATTTTTATCTTTCATATAAGAATAGAGCTTCTATTAGTTAATGTGTAAACTTCTATTTAAGAGCTTGAATTGTTTATATACTTCAATCAAACTGTTTAAAATTTTAAAAATGTTCAAGACACATACATGGAATGTGAAGATATATCAATAACTTTAATATATCTCAAATAATAAACAACTTCTTTGTTTTTAATTATTAAAGAAAAACTCTACATAGATATTTATCTCTAAGTGCTTTGTGTGTAAAGTTAATAAGTTTTATGAACAGTTTAGTATATCCATAAACATAGAGCGAAAAATTTTCAGATAAATTTTATAAGAATGGTTTCGCAAAAATTATAGAGAAAATCAACTATAAAATCAATTCCATTCCACTTACTATATTACTAATGGTTTAATCTTAATTCTTTTTGTATCCAATGATTTAGGTGAACTTTTTTTTTTTTTTTTTTTGGTAGACAATTTAGGTGAACTTTTATCTCTAAGAAAATCAGTATAAATTTTTTTTGTTCTTGTACTGATATAAGTTAATCCATCCCTCAATTAAAATCACATATTTATAAATCTAACTTTTTTAAAATGTTTGTTAGAATAACTTGAGACAATACCCACATAAAAAGGGATACACATATCTATACTTCATAAATATATTATTTGTGACACACTTGTATTAATAAATAGTTAATTTTATAAATGTTAAATTTCATAAAATTAATTGATAAATTGAAAGTTTGTTAATACTTCATTGCATTATATGTTTTTTTTTTTATATGCATTATATGTAATTACGTATATAAGGGGAGAGTTTATCTTAATTAATATTCTATATAAATTCTGATAAAAATAACAAAAATAAAAGCATAACTTTGTCCAAAATTTTGCAAATACTCCATGATACGGGTTCAGATTTGGAAGAAGTCGCCATGACAGAGATATCAAATTTTGAATTATGTTTCATATAAAAATATTTGTCCTTTTAAAGGATGATCCTTTTAGTTAAAAATTGTGTATTTTATTTAAAATTTCAATTAAAAAAAAACATTGGAATAAAAGATTCTATATGTTGTTATGATTTACTGTGATATGTTGTAACCTGTAGTTTGTTAGGATATGTATAACTTAGTCCTATTGTAATTAAGTGTAGTTACTTATCTTTAGGAAGTTGTTTTACTATTTGGTAACAGACTGTTTGGTAACAGCCGTAACAGCCTATTCTATTTAAGATACATTGATGTACAGTTTTAAATCAAAGGAAATACTATCAATTGATACCATTTATCATGGTATCAGAGCGATCCCTTGTTAAAAAAAAAAAACTTCCGCAACGTGTAGACTCTGAAAACAGTGAGCAGGAGATAGCTTCTGTTGAAGATGGCCAATGAAAACAGCAGCAGGTTGAAGCCATCAGACCCTGGATCACCATTCTATCTGACTGGATCAGATAGCCCAGGGATTCTTTTAACAACCGTTATGCTGAGAGGAGAAGCCAACTACGAGAATTGGAGCAGTAACCCACAAGGAGGATTCCATGCAAAGCCATTTGGTGCACACGCAGCTCAAACGGAGGAACCACTAGAGCAAGCAAATGCATTCGCCGTTCTGACACCTGACGTGGTGACACAATTGTTATCATTGGTTGACAACCCGCAACGCTCAAAGGACAAATTAAATCGTAAAGATTCCCATTGTCACTGGCTTATAGATAGTGGTGCATCACGCCACATGACAGGGGTATTGGAATTGCTGGAGAATGTTACAGATGTTGAACCTTTGGCAATCGGTTTACCCAATGGAGCTATTACTTATGCTGTGCAACAAGGATCTGTTTCGTTTACTCCTTCTTTTTCATTATCCAATGTCTTATTTGTGCCAAATTTAAAGTGTAACTTGATATCTGTATCTCAGTTGGTACGACAACATAATGTTGATGTGGTATTCACTAATAATAGTTGTGTTTTGCAGGACCGCAAGCTGAGGACGGAGATTGGATTGGGTGATCACAGGGATGGTGTGTATGTGTTTCGACCAAGCCAAGCAGCAGCTTTAACAGTTCGCTCCAGTGATACGCAAGAACTTTGGCACAAGCGGTTGGGCCATGCATCATCCGAAGCACTTTCTCTGATTCCTTTTTCTAGTAGCATTCGATTTGGCAATGTAAACAATAAGGCATGCGATATTTGTTATCGTGCCAAACAAAATCGATCCTCGTTTCCCATTAGTGATCGAAAGAGTAATAAAATTTTTGATCTTCTTCATTGTGATACATGGGGTCCTTACCACACTTCCTCTTTCTCTGGTGCTTATTATTTTTTAACGATAGTCGATGACTTCAGTCGTGCTGTTTGGGTTTGTTTGATAGGTGACAAAAGTGAAACTTTTGGTGTGTTATGAAAATTTCTTTTAATGGTGCAAAATCAGTTTAATACAACAGTTAAGAGTATTAGATCAGATAATGGAACTGAATTTACTTCCAACAAGATGATTGAATTATTCACTGCCAATGGTATATTTCATCAGAAATCCTGTGTTCATACGCCGCAACAGAACGGTCGGGTAGAACGGAAGCATAGGCATATTCTAAATGTGTCTCGTGCTCTTTTGTTTCAAGCAAACTTGCCAATCAAATTCTGGGGAGAGAGTGTGATGACAGCAGCTCATATTATTAATAGAACTCCCACAAAGCTTCTCAATGGCAAAACTCCTTATGAGCTTTTGCATGGATCTGTTGCTGATTACAGTCACTTAAGGATATTTGGCTGCCTATGTTATGCGGTGACACAACCAAAACCTACAAACAAATTTAGTCCACGGTCTAGGCGGTGTATGTTTGTTGGTTATCCTCATGGGCAGAAAGGTTGGAGAGTGTATGATCTTAATACTAAGGAATTCTTTGTGTCACGAGATGTCAGTTTCCACGAAGATGAGTTTCCTTTTGTTGCTATAAGTGTGCCTACACCTAGCCCATCATTACCTACATTTATACCAATAGATTCTAATGATTCTGCCAATCCAGTATCTCAATCAACTTCAAATGATTGTGAGGCAGAAGTGCAGTTGGAAGATAGGGGGAGTGTCCATCAGTCTGAAAGGGAGCCGAATGAAGATTCTACATCAAATGCTGATCAAGTGCAAAGGAGTGAGGATCCAGCTCCTGCTCTCGTACAAAGGAATGAAGATTCAGCTCACGAACTTGTGCAAAGAAGTGCAGAATCAGCTCAAAACGATTCTCTTCGTCCAGCACGCACACGAAGGCCTCCGTCCTATTTGAGTAACTACAAATGTAATCTGATTGAGGCACATACATACACTCCCAGTCTCACCTCTTCTAGCTCCACCTCAGGTATACGGTATCCAATTGCCAACTATGTGAATACTAACAATTTTTCTTCAAAACATCGAGTTTTTGTTGCTGCTATTGATGCAGGTAGTGAACCTCGGTCATTTAAAGAAGCAATGACCAATGATGTTTGGCGTAAAGCTATGGCTCAGGAGATACATGCACTAGAAGAAAATAATACGTGGACTATCACTGATTTACCTGCAGGCAAACATGCCCTTCCATGTAAATGGGTATATAAAATTAAATATCATTCCAATGGTAGCATCGAGCGCTACAAAGCAAGGTTGGTAATTGCAGGTAATCATCAAGTTCCAGGAGAAGATTTCCATGAAACTTACGCTCCTGTAGCGAAAATGGTGAGTGTTAGAACTCTACTCTCGGTTACAGCTGCAAAAGGTTGGTACTTGCACCAAATGGATGTTCATAATGCGTTTCTTAATGGAGAACTGGACGAAGAAGTGTATATGCGCATACCGGCAGGCTTTAATCAAGGAAAAGGAAGAAAAGTGTGTCGTTTGCAAAGGTCGTTATATGGCTTACGACAATCTCCCAGGAATTGGTTTGCAAAGTTGAGTTCCTCACTTATTAAATACGGTTTTGTTCAATCCGAAGCAGATCACACTTTGCTCACTTTGAAGCGTGGTTCTACCTTCTTGACCATACTAGTCTATGTTGATGATTTGGTGTTGGCAGGCAATGATTCCCAAGCATGTCAAGAGGTTAAGATTTATCTTAACAAGTGTTTTAAAATTAAAGATTTGGGTCACTTGAAATATTTTTTGGGCATCGAGGTTGCCCGTAGCAATGAGGGTATCTTCTTGTGCCAACGAAAATATGCATTAGATATCCTCAAAGAAACAGGTTTGTTGGATTGTAAACCGGTTTAGTTTCCAATTGAACAGAATCATCGCTTAGCTCTGGCAGATGGACCTGACTATGATGATCCAGGTCGCTATAGAAGAATTGTCGGCAAGCTAGTGTACCTTACGATCACTCGTCCTGATTTGAGTTATGTAGTGCACACTCTTTCACAGTTCATGCAAGCTCCAAAGGAAGCACATTATGAGGCTGCCATTCGGGTACTAAGATACATCAAAATGAATCCTGGCCAAGGTATCCTCCTTTCTTCCAAAAGTGATCTCAAAATTCATGCTTTCTGTGATTCAGATTGGGCCAGCTGCCCTTTAACTCGCCGGTCAGTTTCTGGGTTCTTCATTATTCTTGGAACCTCACCTGTTTCTTGGAAAACAAATAAGCAACTCACTGTCTCACGCTCCTCAGCAGAGGCTGAGTACCGCTCCATGGCTGCCGCGACAGCAGAATTGATATGGTTGAAGTCTTTTCTTGCTTCACTTGATGTTATCCATGATGATCCTATGGAATTATGTTGTGATAATCAAGCCGCTATACATATCGCGGCAAATCCTGTGTTCCATGAGCGAACTAAACACATTGAAATTGATTGCCATTTTGTCCGGGAAAGGTTGGTTTCTAAGACGATTCGAACTACTTTTGTTCGTTCTCATTTGCAACTCGCAGACATTTTCACCAAAGCACTTGGTCGTGTTCCATTTCTTGCCGTTCTTTCCAAGTTAGGCATTTCATGTCTTCATGCTCCAACTTGAGGGGGAGTGTTGGAATAGAAGATTCTATATGTTGTTATGATTTGCTGTGATATGTTGTAACCTGTAGTTTGTTAGGATATGTATAACTGAGTCCTATTGTAATTAGGTGTAGTTACTTATCTTTAGGAAGTTGTTTTACTATTTGGTAACAGACTGTTTGGTAACAGCCGTAACAGCCTATTCTATTTAAGATACATTGATGTACAGTTTTAAATCAATGGAAATACTATCAATTGATACCATTTATCAAAAAACCTCCAACATTCTTCCCATAATTTTCACTGTGTATTTTTTTTCCTCACTTAAAATGATTGCAAGCAATGTAATTATGTAGAGAGAGCATGTCAAGCTTTTTAAAAAAATAAAATAAAAAATACAGTATATAATAATATGTACCTGTATATTTAATAAGCCGCTGAACCACGACGATAGTTACCGTTGAAGTCAAAGAGAGTTTTGCACATTTCTGCATGAAAAGCCTTTTTGCAGTCTGAAACTCAATTCCCCGGCAGAGGCTTGGTAGTTTGACAAGTATTGCAATTTCCAGATTTGGAAGCTCAATTTTCTGTTCACATTTGAATACTTCCTCTAGCTCATACGCTTCTTTTATTATCACACTCTCTAGCTTGGGAAACTCTTTAGATGTGGAGACATGGAAGACACATTTCAACTTATTGCATTTATTTACCACAAGCAATGCTAGCTTTGGGAAGCATGTCTTTCCAGAGGGAAAATTTGAACATCTCTCATTCTCCTTATCCTCTTCAATGATATGCTTTAATTCTTTGCATTCTGTTATCATTAGTTTCAGCAATTGTGGTAGGCATCTTAACATAGAAGCAGAAAAGATTACTTCCAATTGTTCACATCGCGCAATTGCCAACTCTTCAAGGTTTTGGAGGGTACCAGAATTCTTGGGACCCACAAAAATATATGTCATCTGAGACAGATCACCCAACTGAAGTTTTGCAAACCGTAATAAGTGCATTTGTTGTTCACTTATTTCTTTCGAGTCATTCACCTTGGGATTTTCCATACTCAGAAAATATTGCACGTCCCCACTCAAGTCCTATAACAAATAAACAAGAAATAATCAAATAAATAAAATTAGCATTTCACTCATAATTTAATTTTTTTTACAAAATGATATATATTAGCAATAATTATGATAGTAATATTTTTATATTATAATTTGAAACAATTTTTCCTTTTTTTTAATCCATATTTTTATTATTTTTCAGAATTAATTATGCATACACCTTAATTTTTCATATCCTTAGATATTTTTCTTTTAATTTCTATTTTTAAAATTTTATCCTAACTTATAAATATTTTCGCAATACAAGAGATACTGGTGTTACAATGATATTACCAAAAATTACCTGATAAATGAATGAAGTTAAATAAGGCCCTGTGCATTTCTTTTCTAATGAAAAAACTATGAAAGAGAATTACAAATCATGGCTTTAAGAATCATAGTTTAGCTACTAAGAAAATTACAGCTTTCATTTGAAAAGAATTACATTGTCATAAAAAATAAGTAACTTGAAAATGAACTAATTAACTTTTAACCTAGAATCAAATTGTAAGGCTTCTTTGATATCTTGAAATCTTTTCGGTTACATGTTGACTTACACGAAAGAAGGATAGAGTCTGTATACTTCCAAATGACATCAATATTTTATATAATTTCACCTATCGTCTAAAACTTTTAAAATAATTAATATTTAATTAGCAATAAAAATTTTAGGTAATTTTGAATCAAAGTATTCATGTTTTAAAATGGGTTGGGACAAATTACTAAATGAATCTCTATGAGATTGGATTGAACTTTAAGACTACTCTAGTGGTTTAACAATTTGAAAATCATTTCAATTGACCTAAATACTGGTTCAACCTGTTATCAAAAAATAAATAAATACTGGTTCAACCACTTAAAAATTAGTTTAACTGATCGAGAGAATAGCTTCACTTGGATCCCACATTAGCCTAGTACATTCCGAAAAATTAATTTTCTTTTGTATTATCTAAGATTCAATCTCATGTAGCTAAGATATAAGAAACATTCTGAATTGCTAGATAATTCATTGAGTTTTTTCATTCCAAAATTTGCCAAATTTTCCAAAACTTCTGCGATACAAAGACTTGCTTTAAATATGGTTATTGGAAAAATTGCCAAAAAAGGAAATCCTATTGCATACAACAATACTTTAACTGTAAATCAGAACGTTAAAATATTTAGTTTAATAAGAACTCATTTTAATATATGGTTTTGCTTGCCGCAACCTAATATGTAATTATATCCTTATTTCTTAAAAATGCTTTTAATTTTAAAATTAGTGAAATGAGTATTGTTTTACTTTTTTGTTAAATTAACCATCATGCATCCTTAATGTTAACTCAATTTGTCCACGTTCTTTAAATTATAGGAGATGGTTATATTTACCAACTTTTTGTTTCCAAACTATACTATGTACTCTCAAAAGTACACTAGGTTACACTATGTATTTCTGAAAATACATAGTGTAATTTATAAAACTTTATAAAAAAAAATTTGTAAACGAATTATTCCCCGTTATATGGAAACTAAGAAGCTCTCTCAACTATCACATTACTAAGAGTTTCATATTCTTAATTATTCGTCACAACCTATCTTTTTATATGTTTTTTCAAATTCTTACTTTAACATTAACGGTATAATTATATGGTCGGTTCGATCCCACATTCGTTTTTCCCATCTTCCTAGATATTTAATTAGCTCTTTTCTAGATTTTTATTTTGTAAATTGATTTTTAACATATTAATAACAATTGACCAATATAACCTTACTTTAAAATTTATTTATCGATTTATCTTATTTTGAAATCTATACATCAAACCATCCTATTTTCATAAAAGTTGATTAATTACTTTTCCTTAAACATGGTATACGTGTTAAGTATACGATGATGACATATGTCAAATTTGTGGGACTAACATAATAAAAAAAAGGCCATTGTTCTTGACTGTTGTCAAAATAAGATGAATTAATAAAGGGAAGGTTATATTTACAAATTTTTTTGTTTACAAACTACACTATGTCTGACCGGTAATACACTTATAAGTAGAGTATTATCGGTCAGACATAGTGTAGTTTGTAAGTTTGTAAAAAAAGGTTTGCCAATATAGTCCTACTCATTGATAAATATTATTTAGAGCATAATATATTAGTAAAAAATTTTCGAAATAAATCCCTAAAATTGCAATATGTTATTCTTTGATTAAGATTGAAATATTACAAATAGCAAAGATTTATGGAAAGAGGGGGTACCTTGATAGTTGTGCTACCCAATTCTCTTGAATCAAGAATGGACAAATCACCAATAGATTTAATGTTAAAGTGTGAACATTCACTGAGTGTAAAGTCCGTCAAAAGTGGGAGGAACGTTGGGCGATAGTTTTCAGAGCAAATGCCGATTAACTTTGGCAGCTGGAGAAAGTAGATATATTTATAGATTTCATTCAAATCTTTACTAACACCGTACATGGGCTTTTGCAAGGATATTAAGGCTGCATTCCACTGTTCCTGGCGTTGTTCGCCCTTTAAACGGCTAGCAATAATAGCAACTGCAACTGGTAACCCTTTGCATTCTTTGACAATTTCATGTCCCATGTTCACCAAACCTTTAGATGTATTATTGTTTATACAAGCATGCTTTTCGAACAGGGTCCATGCCTCATCCTCTGGTAAGAGCTGCAGTTCAATTATTTTGTCACATTCCAATGAGCGACATGCCCTTAGATGACGTGTGGTTAGAAGAACTTTGCAACCTCTTTTTGGAATCCCTATTGTTTCAAAATTGATATGCTCCACAGTATTTTCCCATACATCATCCAATATTAGAAGAATTTTCTCACCTTTGGTTAATCTGCTCTGTAGTAATTTGGGTCGCTCTGATTCAGCCTTATCCTTCAATTCTGATGCTAATCCCAAGGGTACAGCAATATCATCTTGAATCTTTCTTATGGCAGGAGTAGATGACACTGTAGTATCGATGACAAGATCAAATTGTTTTGATTGCTTGAGTTCCTGACCCACTTTTAATGCCAATGTTGTCTTGCCACTGCCACCCATCCCTTGCAATCCTATTATATAGTTGTTGTCATCTGTCAGTGCATCCAAAAGTTCTTTGTATTTCAACTCTCTGCTTTTAAAAGAGACGTAATCTTGGGAAGAATGATACTCAATGCCCGGAAGATGAGGAGCGAGTCCTGTAATATTCAAGGTTTCAATTTCTTGCATGATTCTTCTAATATCCTCCGTCTTATTGGCCAGTTCCTTTCCCCTACTATATCGCCATATGCAATTTGGACACCATCCAAAGAAGCATGTATTTTTTGTTCTAGTGTCTTCTTGAATGAGCTCACCAGCTCGCTCTTGGCAAGAAGTAACATCAGCTGGAGTATCTTGTGCGCTTCTTCTGAGCTGATCAACATGTTGCCCCACAGCCTTCACTTTTGCTTCCAAATTTCCTTTTTCCTTTTCACAGTCTGCAGCAATGGATGTGAAGCAACATATATATCGTGCTTCTCCAATTGCCCGGTCCATCAATTTCTCCAAACCCTTCTTTGCCAATTCATTCGGGATATCCGCCATCTAGATCAAGTTCAATACATCCTAGTTAGTCATAAATAGTTAACCAATTGCATGTATAAAAATTATGAGAACCAAGCTGTCAAATCAAATAATAAAATATAAAAAAAAAAAAAAAAAAAAAACACAATTGATGGATTAGTAATAGTAATGTAATTTAACCTGCATGTCTTAAAGAGAAAGTTTTAAAATTAATCTTATAAATTTTTAAACATTTTGAAATTTTATTTTTATGATATCTTTATATTATGGGTTGTGTGTGGATTCAAAATTTAAATGTTTTACATGTCAAAAACACTATTGAGATGTTAAGTATTTCCTTATATTTGGTATTAAAATGAAAAAAATTCAAAAAAAAATATATTTTATAATAAATTTGAACAGGGAGTTCTTTAATTGGATTAAAAACTTATGCCTTAATAAAAATTTGTAAATTGTTTGTGGAAAAGATTATACTTACTACCAATTAAGTTTACCATTTCTTTTATAACCGTTAGATAGTGGTGACTAAAACATGATGGAAAGAGAAAGTTATGAGAGAGAGTGACGGAGATTGTAGAAGAGAGAAATTTTTTTATGACAATCAACGGTTATGATTCGCAAATTAAACTCATTAATTAATTATTAATTCATAATAAATGACAATCGTTGATTGGTGTAATGTCCCACATCGGTTGGAGAGGAGAACGAAGCATGCCTTATATAAGAGTGTGGATACCTTTCCTTGTAGGAGGCCTTTTGGGGGTAACCCGAAACGTAAAACCGTGAGCTCGACGGTGCTTGTGCGCGGGGCAAAGCGGACAATATCCTGCTACAGGGTTTGGGGCTGTTACATATGGTATCAGAGCCTGGCCCTGGACCGGTGTGTACAGCGGGGACGCTGTATTCCCAGTGGGGGAGGATGTAATGTCCCACATCGGTTGGAGAGGGGAACGAAGCATGCCTTATATAAGGGTGTGGATACCTTTCCTTGTAGGAGGCCTTTTGGGGGTAACCCGAAACGTAAAACTGTGAGCTCGACGGTGCTTATGTGCGCGGCAAAGCGGACAATATCCTGCTACAGGGTTTGGGGCTATTACAATTGGCGGAAATCAACGGTTATGATATATGGTTGTAAGAGGTTGTAAAAAAAGGTTGTAAGTATAACCTTCCTTCCTATATATATATATATATCATTTGAGAACTATATTTAAAATATTTGTCATTAAATCCCACATCTTGTCTAATTTTGATAACAACAAGTGAAGTGTAACATCCCCAGCCTCGAGCCGGTTCAATTAACATGCATATGATACTTAACAGAAACAACGGAAGACTTAACTTACGAAAATACGAATTAACTTTTTCTTTTTCTTTAATCCTTTTTCACATGACATATCACATTGCATACTTCTTCTAATTTAATTCTTATTTTACGGAGACGAAAATCGGACAGAGTAACCTCTGTAAATCGGACAACTGGGGATTTTCCAATCCCACTCTCAAGAGTTCCTGATAGACAGTTTAAACAATATATATTTCCAGAAGTACCAGTCATGCAAATATACTCAGATACCCATCTATGGGCGCATGCTGAACTTGGCTCCGTGCCACAAATCTAATAGCATGCAATCCAATACATAACATAACTGAATACTACATAGTCATATCATCATGCCTGAATACATAAATGTACATGTATCAATATGAACACTATGCAACAATACATCTTTTCCAAAAATACGTCTAAAACAAATAGTAGCATCCGACCACCCAGAACTCCACATCCTCATACTAGTACCTCTAGCCACAGTTAGTGTCCTGGTCCCATGAGGCTCTTCAATTAACTGTGTTCCTGAAATCATATCCCCAAACGGGGTTAGAGACGAATCTCTAGTAAACTCCAGGTTTATGGAAAACCCTCCATACCTTGGGCTCACTTCCTGCATGACAGTCAGATACATAATATACAAAACATCATATAAGCAATTATCATAACTGAACAAAGCATATATACATATCTTATCAAAGACAAACGCAGTCATTCCCAAGGGATGACCCCAAGCAAAAATCAACGCACGTAACAAATATCTTTTACAAAAATCATCATAATACTCACATCAGAACAAAACGTGTTATATCAGAGATGTACGCAATTGTTCCCAAGGAATGACCCCAAGCGGAAATCAACGTACGTAACAAATATCATTTACAAAATCATCATACATATCCCATAAAACATGTCATATAATCAAATATCATAACCAAACAAAACATATACACATATCTTATCAGAAACGTACGCAGTTATTCCCAAGGGAGGACCCCAAGCGAAACCAGAACATATCAGAGGCGTACGCAGTCATTCCGAAGGGAGGACCCCAAGCGGAAATCAACGCACGTGTTCCCGAGGGAGGACCCCAAAGCGGAACCAGAACATATCAGAGGCGTACGCAGTCATTCCCAAGGGAGGACCCCAAGCGAAAATCAACGCACGTGTTCCCGAGGGAGGACCCCAAAGCGGAACCAGAACATATCAGAGGCGTACGCAGTCATTCCCAAGGGAGGACCCCAAGCGGAAATCAACGCACGTGTTCCCGAGGGAGGACCCCAAAGCAGAACCAGAACATATCAGAGGCGTACACCATCAGTCCCGAGGGAGGACCCCAAAGCGAACATCCGGGTACTATACAATCAATGGCCAGATATTGTTACAGAAATCATATTACAGAAGTCATATCATAACAAAACATATCATATTAACACATCAAAGTAAACACATCAAAACAAACCATATCATATTATCATATAGCTCTATATGAATGCATCTATATATATCTCATACATATCATACAACCCGACCACAGTCCGTACACTATGGCGGAACACAAAGTAGGAGCGAACCCCATAAACATAGAGCTTACCTTTTGAAGCTTTTTCAATCCGCTTACTTGTGGCACAAGTTACTTATATATCTTCAAGAAGGTTCCGATTTTTTTCAGTCCCTAGGTACACCTAGAGGAAGAATACAAAAATACAAATCAATAAAATGCTATCATGCCTAGATTTTACATAAGGCATACATTTTATCGTTTATTTTCGTTTCTTTACGTTTATGCTAAATCTATGCCAATACACAAGTCATATACTAATTCCTTTCAAACTTACATATAGAACCCCAAAGCTAGTTAGGATAAAACCACTAACTCTTAGTGGGAATTTCTCACTTTACATGGACTTATCATGTCCTCAACATAACTTACAAATCATAATTCCAAGTCCAATACAATTCCAACTCATTTACTTCTTTAAGGGTTGAAAATGACACATATAGGTGTGTTCATGACTTTTTCTCAAGCTATCTTTTGTTAGCAACCATTCCCTTCATCACTACATCGAATATCCATCATCATCTCTTATTTAAATATCACCAAATACCTCATTTGTACCTATTTCAGGATGAAGGCAGATTTGCACTCATAAGTGTTTATCATTTTTTTTCTTATGTTTTTCTTTCCTTTATTTCTCACTTCACATAACTCCAATTAAGTAGATAATCATTAACCAACCTCAAGACACATAAACACACATTCAAACATATTAAAGCATAATATTCTTTGTTCTTTTTCCTCTTGGCCAGAATACATATATATAGGAACAATGTCTTTTTCTTTAACTTTCATCACTTTTACCAATCCTAATTCACACCACTTATCAGTAATTACATACAAGGTATTATTTTCACTTTGGCATTTCATCAAACACTTGGTCTACCCCTTTTATTGTATATAGGTTGAATTATACATGAGAGGTAGGCCATCCATTTTCTCAAATTTCAACATCCATTCTCAATAACTTTTCAACTACTACGAACAACAATTCATCATCAATTTCCAATTCAAACTAAATTATTTTCTACCAAAATATGCTCACAATTATCAAGACTTAAATCACAAACATAGAACCATAGAATTAGAGGTTTCTTACCTATAGTTGCTATTCCAAGCTCCAAAGAACAAAACCTAAGCTTTGCTCACTCAAAAGCCCCACTATTTCACAAGGATGAATAGTGCCACGAATTAGGGGTGATGAATAACTCTCTCCACAAGCCAAATCAGCCCAAATAGAGTGGTGGAATGGATTCACTAGCCTTTTTTCTACAATTTTCATGTATGGCATCATGACTTTTGGTGACCAAATGAGTGAGAATGGAAGGAAGAAAAGATGAAACCCTACGTTGGCTTCTAAGGAAAAAAAATGACAGTAACCAACGCGCACGGAGAGGAAGAAATGAAAGCTTACGGGTAGGCTTTTATTTGAAGTTACTCTTTAACTGGGTAACAGCTTACCTATCTACACATCTCCATTCCCTACCAAACTTTGTATACTAGTCCAGAATATTTTTATGGTAATATTTATAATTTTACTTTTTACTTTCGGGTAACTTTATTTACCTGCATTTTTACTCCTTAACTGTCATTTTAACTCCTTTTTCACCAAAGGTGACTTTATTTCTTTTACTTCTAATTATTCTTCAATATTAAATCCACCATTACTAGTAAGGGTTATTATATGAAGCCAAATTATATAGTTTGTTCAATTTTTGGAAGTTTCTAGAAGGATTTAATTTGTGGTGAATTATGAAAAAGTGAATATAACTCAATTATCATGAAATCATGAATATGTGCGCGACGGTGCTTATGTGCGCGGCAAAGCGGACAATATCCTGCTACAGGGTTTGGGGCTATTACAATTGGCGGAAATCAACGGTTATGATATATGATTGTAAGAGGTTGTAAAAAAAGGTTGTAAGTATAACCTTCCTTCCTATATATATATATATATATATATATATATATATATATATATATCATTTGAGAACTATATTTAAAATATTTGTCATTAAATCCCACATCTTGTCTAATTTTGATAACAACAAGTGAAGCCAAATTATATAGTTTGTTCAATTTTTGGAAGTTTCTAGAAGGATTTAATTTGTGGTGAATTATGAAAAAGTGAATATA